TTGCGTTTTTCTAAGGGAAAGGAGAGATTTAGGCACAGGGGAATAAATCCTTCCTTTATCTCTTCCAAGCTACTGCACAGGAATGGATCAGAAACAGAATCCTGGAATGGTTTGGGTTGAAGGGACCTCAGAGCTCCTCCAGTGCCACCCCTGCCATGGCAGGGACACCTCCCACTGTCCCAGGCTGCTCCAAGCCCCATCCAACTTGGCCTTGGACACTTCCAGGGATCGTGGGGCAGCCCCAGCTTCTCTGGGCACCCTGTGCCAGGGCCTGCCCACCCTCACAGGGCAGAACTCCTTCCCTGTATCCCGCCTAAGCCTTCCCTTCCTCGGTTTAGAGCCATTCCTCCTTGTCCTGTCCCTCCATCCTTGGTCCCAAGGCCCTCTCCAGCTCTCTTGGAGCTCTTTTAGGCACTGGAAGGGGCTCTGAGGCCTCCCTGGAGCTTCTCTTCTCCAGGCTGGACACACAGACCAACACTTTCAGCCCACCAAAGTTTGTTTTTGGGAGTTTGTTTTCCATTATTCCCACAATTATCTGCTGCCATCCCACACCCAGAGGAAAACACTCCAGGCAAGAACAGGAACTTTTAGGCAGCTCAAAGCTGGGGTGAGAGCAGCTCTGCTGTGCAGCTCCTCCCGGCACCCCTGTTTGCTGTGATTTATTGCTCCAAGCAGCTCAGACTGTCCAAATAAGCTCTAAAATATCCCTACAGAAAGGAAATTTCCCCCCAGCAACACTGCTCTACTTCCTCGAGGTGTGGAGCAAACCCTGCCCTCAAACTGAGAGACTCCACGACTGAGAGACTCCACGAGGAGATGGTCAGAGTACACAAAACCACCCAGAGCTACCCTAAATCCAATTATTAAACCATTCATCACACAAACTCCTCTTCTCCTGCTGTCCCCATCCTGGTTCTGACCTGAGGATGAGGCTGAGGTGTGGAACCAGCCCCAGCTGGGCCCATTTTCCACCTTCCATCCACCAATTTCCCTCCTTGCCACGAGAAGTTTCTCACAGATATTCAAATTGCTTCAAAACTGCAGTTGAGGGTCACCCCTTGGCACTGAGACAGCAGAGCCACGATCCCAGAGGCAGAAATTCTGGGAATTAGTGTGAGACCCTAAAAATCACCTAAAAACACCCTACAGGTGCTGTTTTTAGTGATTCTCCTCATTCATGTATCCAGACTGTCCTTGCCCTCAAAGGGAACCCAAGCTCCCTTGGTCGTTATAACAGATTTTTCAAACAATTATGAACAGTTTATGGGCATGAAAAGGCTGAACTTTTGCCATCTTCATCATTCCACAGTAAATCAGGAACATCCCCAGCAGACAGAGCCCAAAAATCATCCCATTTCCCATGGAAACTCTGACATTCAAAGCAGACTGAAGTGGTTAAAAGTACAAAAAACCCCCCAAACCAAGACACTAAAAACACCTGTTAAAGTGTCAGCCCAAGAAAAGTCATTTCTCCCTTGAGGTTTACAGAACAGAACCCCTCACCACTTGCACAGCATTTGGAAAGTTGTTTAATTCTAAATTGAAAGCATTGATAATGACATTGGATGTCCCAGATAAATTCTGGGAAATGAATTGTGCCATGGACACTCCTGGGTTAGAATGGATCCCATTATCAGCATTCCTCTGAATCTATTTTTAATTAAAAAGATAAACCAGCAGCTGCAGAGAAGAAGGAGAAAGGGAAAAATGAAGCACTTGCTGAGGGAAATCTTTCCTTAAACACCCCCAGGTTTGTATTTACTGCTAAAATAAATTCAGGTTGGATGGAAAAGTGTCAGATCAAAAGTGGTGAAAGTGCTTTGTACCAAAATTTCATCAGGTTCTTTGTTTCAATCAAACATCTTTTCCTCCCCTCCAATCTTCTCAATAACAACTCCTCTTTCCCCACACCTTTTCATCTGGTTTTCATTTCAGCTAGAAAACATTAAAATTTCATTTAAAACTACTTCAAGTAGGGGTTTTTTTGTGATTATTTTGTTGGTTTTGGTATTTTTAACAATTAACAATTTTTTTTATTTCTTCTCCACCTCCATTTTATTCCCAACTCCACATCCTTAGCCTCCTGCATTAAAAACTCAAGACAGGATCCAGCTTTTTAACAGCACATTTGCAATGTTTTATGTGGATAAATTCCTCCATTTCATTGCTTTTCAGTAGCTGATACCTTCCAGCCTGGGGCAAATAAGGCCTTACAGAAATTTTACTATCTCAAGTGGAACTGAAGCTGATTGTTACAAATAGTCCCATAATGAGGTTAAAAGGGCCATAAATCTTCACAAAGTCAAGTTCCTTCCTGCTCTGAAGGCACATTTTCAGCAAGGGAAAGTCTATTTAGAGCTTGGAGCTGAAAAATAAACTTAAAACAGCAAGTCAGCCCAAGAAGCTAAAAAAAAAAATCATTGTCAGAGAAATTATTTACCCTGGAAATACAATTGTCTGAATTTGGGATGAGCTCCAGGGAAGCAAGAATTGGGTGGCAGGGAAGAGGGGAAAGCCACACCAGCCCTTTATTGGGGATTTCATGCTTGAAAAGAAAAAATAAAACCAGGACAGGCCCTGGATTGAAGGAGAAGGGGCCCTGCTTTGACTTTCAGGCCAGGTGTGGCAGGATTTTGGCAGCTCATGGAAAGGGAAATTGAGGAGCTGAAATCTGAAGATATTTCCCACTTGCCTAGGAACACGTGGGAAACACCAACACCTTGCCAAGCCCTGCATTCACTCCAAATCCTAAAATTTCCCCCTCTAACCCTGCCCTTGGCTCCTACAAATCCATTATTTGCTCCAACAGCTTTTTTTGGGAGGAAGCAGCTCTGGAGGCACCCTCAGGAATTTGGGTACAGCCTTGGGCTGAGCAGGAGGCTGCCAGGGAAGATGAGGGTGATCCCTAAAGAGCAGGAACCTGGGATCCAAGGATAACCCCAGCACAGGGAACGTCCTCAGCCCTCCCTGGAACCCTCCTGGAGGAGCAGCTCATCCCCTCAAAAACCCCAGCCAGGAATTCCAGAACAAAAGGAAACAGAGCCAGGATTTGAGACAAACCTACAACAAGACCCCAAAACTTCCCCCATGAGCCAGGGTCAAACCCCAGCCTGGCAACAAATTAAAGTGCTTAATTAATGTTAATAATTTAATGTTTCAATTAAAATGAGCATCCAAGAGCTCACCCCAGAGGGAAGTTACCTGCATGGAGAAGGTCTGTACTGAGGCAGGGTCAGAGCTGAGCATGCCCAAGGCAAGGAAAGGGATGCAAACTCCAGGCTGAGCTTAAATGGAACAGTGAGCAGGTGTGGGGAGCCCCAGGGGAGGCTGCTCAGGGACATTGAGATGGCAAATATTTAGGTGGAAGAGCAGCTGAACATCCCTGTGGGGAGATTTGGGTCTGGGGAGCTCTGCAGCTTCCAGACTTTTCCACAAGAAGACACTGAGTCACTCCTACAGGAACTTCCTTCCTTCCAGCAGCTCCCTAAAAATCCTCCTTCCTTTCCCAACGTCCTGTCTGTGCAGTTGAGGCCTCTTTCCTCTCTGACTGCTGATTCCAGGCTGGGAATGTGTTCCTGTGGATCCAGAACTGGTCCTTTCCCCCCCAGCTGGGCTCCCCCAAGCCCAGGATGTGCCTGGGGATGGGGCCAGGGAGGGAAGTTTGGGGATGGAAGCACAGAAACAGGGAGAGCTCTCAGGATCCATCCCTGCTTCCCTCTCTAGCTGGAGCAGAGAACAGACTGAGAAACTGCTGCTGTTCCAGAAGGAGGGATCTGGGGCTGCTGTGGCCTTTAGGAAGGTTGAAAGACCCTAAAATCCATGAGGATGTTCTGAGGGCTGTGTTCTGGCCCATGGTGCATCCACTCCTGGGCTGCAGGGATGGGGCTGAGCCCGTGCTCAGGGAGGGCTCCCATCAGGACAGGCAGCTCCAAAGCCAAAACCAACAGAGCCACGAAGGGCTGGGGACAAAGGGACCAAGCCCTACATGAGAAATTAGAAGAATAATTCAGAAATATCTTAGCCCTTGCTGTTTCTTGGTCCTATCTGTGAAGAAGAGCTCACCCCACAGCCCCTCCAGGTGGGCTGAAAGGCCACGAGGTGCTCAAATAATCAGAATTGTTGTTTAATACACAAACCCTTCTGTCACAGCTCGGTGGCCTGCAGACCTAATGACAGTTTAGCCACAGCTGCACAAAACCACAGCAGGCTCTGGGCTGCAGGAACACACAGAGCAGGAGGTGTGGAGATATTTCTGCAGCTTTCTGGGCATTTCTGCAGCCCTTGCTTGCTGCTGGACACTGGGGGAAAAGGTTCTGCAGCAGCTGCAGCACAGGGACAGGTGGGATTTGTGTCCTATGGGATTATCCAACACGCCAGGGTGGGTTTGGGTCCTGGTCAAGGCAGTCACGCTCCAGTCAAACACATCAGGATGAGCAGTGGGTAGGAATGGCCAAATCTATATAAAGGGACAGAATTCTCAACTTGCCACTCCAAAGTGAGTATTTCCTGAAGGAATGGGAAGCCCCAGGGAATTCAGGCAGGCCCCTGTGCCACTCTCAGCATCCTTTTGCCCAAGTTTACTATTTTGTTTAGAAAAAAAAAGCATTTCCTCCTCCAAGCTGTCTTTGGTGACCCCTGTGGGGAAATCCTTTGCTGTTCCCCCGGTGGCCTTTCCCTCAGCAAGGACACTCCCAGACACTCAGGCTGAAGCTGAACAACAGACTTGGGATTCTTAAGAGTGGTTTTGGTAAGAGAAAAACCAACTTGTCAGCAAATAATGGGCATTTCCTGCCTGCAGGCTTTGCCTGGCTTCACTTGCACCTGCCCCTGTGTCTGTCACTGCTCAGGGGCCGTGGTGACACCATGTCCCTGCTGCCACCTGCCAGCCCAGGGCTGCTCAGGACATTGTTATTATTATTATTATTATTATTATTATTATTATTATTATTATTATTATTATTATTATTATTATTATTATTATTATTATTATTATTATCCCTTTCCTACACCTCTCCCACGGCAGCATCTTCCAGAACTTCTTGTTTTTGGGGCTGTCTGAGCATCCCCAGCTGGTGCTCCCTCTGGAATGTCCCTCCTGGAGCTGCTGGTCCTGGGGAGGGCACAGCTCCCCTTCCTCTGGAGCATCTGTGAGGCTGCTGACAAAAGGCAGGATATTGTTTTCCCCAAGCCTGATGTCTCTGGCTCTGCAGAAATCTAATTAATGCATGTTAATGAGGCTAATTCAAAATCCCTGATCCAGCGACTGCCCAGAGCTTCTTCCAGACTTCAGCTCTCCTTCAAGCTGGGAAGAAAGGAAGAAAAAGGAATTAGCAGAACTGATCTTTGCATCTTGAAGCTGTTACACAGTTTCACTGATGTCTCAACCACAAACCAGCAGTTTCCTTTTTTCCCCCCCTCCACCTGTACAAGAGTTCTCAGAATAAAATGATTGCACTATGAATTTATGAGCTGCAGCTCTTCTGGACGAGGTGTTTGGTTATGTGGTGGCTACAAAGGGTTTTTTATCCAGACACAAAAAGTGATGAGACGTCCTGGGAAATGCAGAGATGGGGCTGATATCAAGGTGGAAGAGGAACTTGGGAGTTGCTGACGAATCTAGGAAACACCTGGGTTCTGCTTATGAAGAGAAGACAGCAAAAAACCCAACCCCAAAGTTTTATGTAAACTCAGCAAGCAAAAATAACGAACCAGACCCAAACAAAAAAACCCCAAACCCCAATAACTCAGCCTGAAATGAGAAAGTGAAAAGTTCTAATTCAGAGGTGATTATAATTTCCCAGTCAGAGCCCAGTGCTAATTGGGATTATCTATATCCTGATTTTTGAGGGAATCATTGGGCTGTTGTGGATTTTTCCACTGATTTCAGGGAGGAAGGGAAAGGAGGAACTTTGCTTTTAATCTAAAATCAGACAATTTAAGAAGCCAATTCTGAATGTTTTTTCTCTCTCACTTCTCATTGGGATGTTTTGCATGAGGAGTCTCCCCTATGCTCCACTTTCTCAACAAATCTTAAAGGTGGAGGAGTTGTCCCAATCCCAAAATCCTCTTCTCAATCTCCCAAATGGATTCTCAAAGGTTCTCATTTAAAAGCAGCAAGATCTGAGAGTTCTAATCCAATGACAATCCACTGGAAGGATTTGTGGGATATTTGTTTTTTTCCAGGGAGGGAGGATTCCTGGGATCTGGTGCCTTGAGGAGGTATCTCAGCTAAACTGCTCATTGTTTGTGGGAGGTGTCTGCAGGAGATGTCCCTAAAAAAAATGGGATTTTGCCAGTTAAGGTTTGGATTTTGCCCCAGAAAAGTTGTGGTACTGGTTCAAGGGGAGTGGACTGGAAGTTGTGCTTTCCCTCTCTGAGTACAGCAGGGAGATCAATTTAGACTGACTCAAAGGCAGAAAATATTCCTTCTCCCAACTCCTGAATCTGGGAATACACATTTAGAAACATCCATTTAGAGTAAATCCCTTATAGCAAGTGATACCCCCTGTTCGGAAATACTATCCAAGGAATTCACAGTTTGATGCAATCCACATTATGGACAGAAAATGAAATTAAAAAGTGAAACATTAAGCGAAAACTTTGGACAAATAGGGTTTAACTTACTTGCTTGATCCCAGAATCTGAAGGATTCTTTCTGTGAGACTGGGATGCTGCAAACACAATTTGGATGTGATTGTGCTGCTTTTCCTCCCCAGGTATCACAGAAAACTGAGGAGCCAAAAACAGATTTGAAAGAGCAAATAGAAACAAGGAGTGAACCTAAACACAGAGCTACTGGAGAAACCGTCAAAACAAGAGGCAAAATCCAGCAGAGCCAATGAATTTTGGCTGCCAAGGAAATCTTGACTCCTCTATCCAAAGGAGCTCTTGTAAGAGTAAAGACTTACTCATCCTTTCCAAAACTCAGCTGGATTTACATCCTTGTGGGATCTGAGCGAAGGACAGCATTCTCCAAGATGGGAAGAAGGCTCCAGGAGCTGCTGGGTCCTGCTCTGCTCCTCCCAGGAGACAAATCCACCCTGTGGGATGGCACAGCTCCTTCCCAGCTCTCCTTAGCTGACAGCTTGCTGAACTGAAGGTCTTCATTTGTAGCTCTGGAGGGCAAAAAGTTGGAGTTTGTGACTGCTGGGGTTTGACTTTAGCAGAATCCAGGCACATGCAGGCACTTGGAGCAGGACTGAGAGCTGACCAAAGATTATATAAACCAAAAACCCCCAAACAGATGATGCTGAGATGATGTTTCTCAGGAAGAGCTAAAATCAAACTGTCCCATCAACATCTGCACACATCACTGCTCCTCTGCTGTTGGGCAGGGAAATCAAACCAGCTCCCAGGACTTTGTTCTGCTCATTTAGAATCCTGGGAAGCAGCGAAAGAGCAAAACCATCTCATGGCTTTTCATTATTCCAATCAGGCAGCGAAATCTGGGCTGTAGCTGTTGTGATCTGTACGTGCTGCCAGTGTTTCTGATCTTATTGAAATGATAAAATGTCTCACAAGGCTCTTTTCTCCCAGGAATCATTTTCCTTGGAGTCCCTCCCCAGCCAGGAGCACCCAGAGCAGACATGAGACACAACTGCTGCTGTTGATTTCTTGCTGACAGTTGTTGATGGTGTGGAAATTATTTCTTTTCTCTGACCCAGATTTATATCTTAGGCCCAGGCCTGAGCCTGTTCATGCTTGTAACACACCCCACACATCTCCTTCATGGCACCTGACTGCTCCTGAATCCAGGCTGGACAGGGATTTGAACGACCTAGTTTAGGTGGACATCTGGAAGGTGTCCCTGCCCATGGAAAAGGGTTGGAATGAGATGAGATTTAAGGTCTCCTCCAGCCCAAACCGTCCTGTGATTCCATGGATAACCTGACAAGAACGAGTCCACCTTGGCTTTGGACACCTCCAGGGATCCAGGGGCAGCCACAGCTGCTCTGGGCACCTTGTGCCAGGGCATCCCCACCCTCACAGGGGAGGATTTATTCCCAAAACTCATCTAAAACTCTCATAATAACTCTCATCTAAAACTCTCCTAATTTTTAAATGCAATCAAGTTCTCTCTTTGCTGTAGTCTTGGGTGATGCTTCCAGATGAAGTGAAAGGGGAAGCAGAGCCTCATGAAGAAAATGTGATGAAGAACATGACTGGGGTTGATCATATTTGTTGGGAGGGGGTTTTCCGGTCTCGGGAATTCCCCACGGAGTTCATTGGGTTTTGTCTTCCAGTTCTCATGAAAATTCTCACCCTTGTCTTTGCAGCCTTCATGGGGAGGCTGCACCGGCGTCACAGACAATATTTGGGGTGCTGGCTTTTGGATCATGGAATCCCAGGATGGTTTGGGAAGTGTCCGAGTTCACAACTCTCAGACTCGTCCTGCCTCTACAGAGGGGTGAGTCACCTGTGGGTGAGAGGTGACAGAATTCCAGGAGGTAGTTCCAGGCTGAGTTGGTTCTCTGAGGCTGATATTCCACCAGCAGTAGCTCTTTTTTGCTGGAAGCTCTAAATTAACAAATTATAACCTTCACATTTAGCTGGATCGCACCGGATTGTGCTGGTGATTCTCCCCTGGGAGAACTGGAGCAATGGCTTTAGCATAAAGCTCCAGGAGGAGCACAAACTCAATTCCCTGTGCACCTAAGGAAAAGGAGTTTCATGTGCCAGCTTGTGGCAGCTGCTCCAGGGTAACTCACCACCACAAAGACCCCCTTGGGAACAGAACTTTTGCAAAGAAATTAAACTGGGCAAAGAAATTAAAACCACCACAGGCAAAACTAAGAGTTCATTCTCCTCCCCAGGTCCCTCTCCCTCAAAATTTTCATTTATCCCTTCCAAAAAGGCTGCTGGAATCTGTCTGTCAAGGGATTCTGCACTGCAAGGGATGAAGGAGAAGTTTCAGCAAAGAAAACCAATCCTTATTTTTAGCACCAGCTGCATGGAAAATAGTTGTCAGAGGCTCTGGTTGGTTAGAGGGGAAGACACATTTGCTCCTTTTTAGTTCCTGCTAAAACCCCAAATTTAGGAAGTAAATGACTCTGACAAAGAGCAAAGGTTCTGACGGGCAAATCCTTGCGGCCGGCATTGGCGAACCCTGGATCCCTCACTGGAAAAGCTGCTCAGCTGCTCTGAACAAAATCCAGGGCCAGCTTCCAAGGGTTTGGGCACCAGCATTCCAAGATGTCCTTTCTCTTTCTGTTGTCAGTGAGGAATTTTTTTGTTCTTGTAGAAACCCTGGTTATTTATCCCCAATTCCAAGCGCCCACGAAGGGAACGGCTGTCGTGGGATGTAGGGATGGGCTGAGACAGAGCTACTGGGCAGCTCTCTTAGGAAAAGCTGCTGTTTTGAATTAAAAATCGATTTCTTTGGAACAGAATCAGCCTCTCTTTTGGACAGGAGGAACGTGTGTGTCTGTGCTGGGGGCAGAGGAAATCGTTAACGACGCGAGTTAACGACTTGGTACAGTTGTAGATCTGTAACAGCAGAGAGAGAGGCACTAATGAGCAATGATATTTCAGTGGCCAGAAAATGCAGGTAATTAGAAGTTATTTCTCACAGAACACCCTGTTCTGACTTTTTCCATGTGCCTCCTGCTCCTTTTTGTTGTGAGAGAAAAAATTATTATCAGCTTTGAGGCCCAAAAAGCAGAAATAAAAGGGAAGAATTTTGAAATGTTTGTCATTCTCTGTTCCTCTTTCTGTTATCTGATTATGTAATTTAACCTCCACATAAACATTTTACTCTTCTTTAAATAATCCTTTGAATTCTCCATAGGAAGAATCACTGAATCAGGATGCAGTTATTTATTTTCTCCTTGTCAGAGTACAACTTTTGACCACACTTAGATGAATTTCTCGGTGTGATCTTTCGTTGAATATCTGCTTTTCCAAACTCCAAAGGCTTGACTTGACAGGAAAAAAACAAACAACATTAACATGAAATCTCAATCTTTATGTTATTTATTGGCTGCTCCATCCTATATTATTATTATTTATAGGATGCCCCATCCTTGGAAGTGTCCAAGGCCAGGTTAGATGGGGCTTGGAGCAATTTGGGATGGTGGAACGTGTTCCTGCCCACAGCAAGGGGGTGGAGCTGAATGGACTTTGAGGTCACTTCCCATCCAAATTTCCTGGGATTCTGTGACTTTAGAAAAATGTTAATAATTATGTGCTATTATGAATATGGCTATATTTATAAGATTATACAATGCACAATATTAATGTTTTCTAGATACTAAATAATACATTTTCATGAATTACACACCTATCTCAATAATAATTTAGAAATGCAGCCGCTTTTCCTCTGGTTCCTACTGAAGGGCTGTAATTTGTTTTATGGGAGTTTTTTTCCCTATTTGATTTCTCCCCTTGAAGATGTGGAAAACCTCTAAAAGACCAGTTACAATTCTATGGACTAAACCACAAAAAAGCCACAGAGCAGCCACTTAATTTTGGATTTGGGGAAAGAATTTGGAAAGGAAACAGAAGCATGGAAAAGGCATGGAAACTTCTTTCTATTTGGGATTGTTGCACATCAAACCCAGCTCCTGAACAGCAAACAGACAAAGCTGGAGCTGTTTTTTTGAGTTAAAACCACGGTATTGCTCAACCATCTGTCACATGATGATGGCACCGAAGTCCAGGTGGCCTTGCAGGATCCAAGCTCTCCTTTAATCCAGGTAATTATGGTAATGAATATTTCTGGGAAGCCATAACCAAGAGAAGAGCTTCTGCTGCACAAACCAAAGTTTTACCCTCATAATGGGGGCAAGGAGCTCTGTAGGGAAATTCCATCGCACCCAGCATAACTGTCTGCAAAATCTCCAGGCAGTTCTGGTTTATCAGCAGAAAAAGCCACTTCCTGAGCCTTTGTCTGCAGGATAACTGATAAACCACCCAATAACCAGGGCCCAGATCCTCTGCAACTGCACTTAAGGAAAAAGAAATTCAGCGGGATATTCTGCAGGTGCAAGGAGTTACGCTTTTAAATTTCCTACCTGGTCCTAAACCCCTCATGTGACAACCTGCCCCAAACCAGAGCAATTCATGGCCCTGGGGAAAGGCAGCAACAGCAGCTGCATCTTCTCCCTCTCCTTTTTCTTTACAAGGATTGTGGCTTTTGCTCAGATCAGTCAAGCCTGTCCTGGATGGAGGTTCATGCAGAGAAGAGCATCTGCACAAGAGCTGATAATGAGGGTGGCCACAGGGTGCCCAGAGAAGCTGTGGCTGCCTCTGGTTCCCTGGAAGTGTCCAAGGCCAGGCTGGATGGGGCTTGGAACAACCTGGGATAGGGGAAGGTGTCCCTGCCCATGGCAGGGGATGGAAGAAGAGAAGCTTTTAATTCCTTTCAATTCCAAACCATGCCATGATTCTGTGATTCTACGAATGTTTGATTTCCACAGATGCTGGCGGGGTCAGTTAGGGGACTGCTGTTCCCAAATTCTCAGCTTGCCAGGCTGCAGAGTGCAGTGATTTTATGTGAAAGACAATTTTGTGATTGGATGAATTCCAGCAAATATGTTTCCATTGCTGAGGAGAAATATAAACAGCTAAACAGGATGTGCTGATAAACACTGCAGCACCAGCCAAAACCTCACTATTGCTTTTCAAAAGGTCCACATAAATAATTTTAAAACAAACACCTGGCAAACTCCCAAATTCTACCAACCTCCTTTGACAACCGATGGAAACGAGACCATCTGGAAAGCACGGCACTGCATTTAAGGGGATGCTCATGTGGAATTATCTGAATGAGAGCCAACAGTTTTGGGTTTCTGAGGTTTCTGAGCTGTCAGACATCAATACTCACATGGTTCCCATGTCAGGTAGGAGCTGCTGTGACATTTGACTTCACACTCTCAAACCATGACAGAGCAGAGCTGGTGAGGACAGGGACAGTCGAGTGCTGAGAGCCAGATCCCAGAGAGGCAAAGCAGGGCAGATTCCTGGTGGCTTTCTGAAAATCCAAACTGGGGTAAAGCTGCAGCCCCTGCTGTGTATTTATCCCCTGGGATAAGGTGAGGCTGGATCCGTGCCCGTTCCTTGAAGCAATGTCAGAAGTGCCACCCTTGGGCATTGCTGGCAGGGTGAGTGAGTGTAAATCGAGTCGGGGATTTATTTAGTTCAGGAGAAATGTCAGGCAAGGCTCACACTGTGCTAAAAAAAGCCATTGGGAAGTCAGACCTCATGTGCAGGAGGATCGAGCTGGAGTAGAGCACCCAGCAGGTCCTCACCCCCAGGGGCAGGAGGGGACAGCAGGGCTGAGCTGCCAGGCAGGAGCAGGCAGAAACCTCGGGAGCGTTCCCATGGTCTGCTCTGCTTGGAGAGGAGGAAGAGCTGGAGAGGAGGAAGAGCTGGAGAGGAGGAAGGATTGGAGAGGAGGAAGAGTTGGAGAGGAGGAAGGATTGGAGAGGAGGAAGAGTTGGAGAGGAGGAAGGGTTGGAGAGGAGGAAGAGTTGGAGAGGAGGAAGGGTTGGAGAGGAGGAAGGGTTATCCTGCACCAAACTCCCTTGGGATCTTCCCACTGGGTGCCAAGGCAAGCCGGCAGAGCCACAGGACAGAAACCACCTGGGACAAAGGCACGTAACCCCATTTTGGGGTCACTGTGGGGACACCTGACCAGGACTGGGCTGGCAGGGCTGGGAGCAGGGCTGGAGCCACAGCCCAGCACTGGCAGAGGCAGCACCTTTTGTGGCACCTCATGATGTCACCCAGGTCCCCTCGCTGGTGTCAACAGTGGTGCAGGGGACATTCCACTTCCTCCTGAGCACTCGGCTGCGCTGAGCACGGCTCTGCCTGCCAAGGTAAGGCTGCTTCAAACCCTCTCCTTGCCGTCCAGAACCGCGCCCCTGCTGCTTCCTGCAGAAATGTCCCTTTCCTCTGGCTTTTCCTTGGGGGTGGCTCTTGCCAGCAGGAGATTTGTGGCACTTGGAGCCCTGCACACTCCTCGTGTGCCAATGCTCTGGGTGTTCAATGCTTGGAGGAGCTCGAACAGCAGCTGCTGTGCCTGCAAAAATAAACGTCAGGCGTGGGCAATTAGCGATGCTCCACCAGCTCTCCAGTGTCATTAACAGGGATAATTCCTGTCTCTTGCCTGATTCCTCTGGGAATATATTTTATTTTAAAGTCATACTTGACAGTAAGGGCAACATGCAAATCTGGTTTTTCCAAAGGGGATTTTTATTGCCATAACATAAAATCCATGTGCTGCCCATCTTTGTGCCATCTAAGGCTCTATGAATGAGCAGCAACAAGAGGAAATTGGCAAGAGTGAGGGGACATAAAATGACAAAAAATAGCAGGATTGCTTGGACTTGCTTTTGCTAATGAAAATCCTGAGGTGGTTCAAAATCTTAATCCAGACCACAGTCACTGCTGTGGATTAAAACTTGACTTCATGGGCTGAAGGTTTTAAACTGGACTTTGTGCTGTACTTTGTAAAAGGTGCATTTCTGCTGGCTTTGCTTTCACGTGCAGCAGCAGCTCAGCTGTGCTGGGAGCCCAGCAAGCATCCTGTGGGGTGGTCACAGCCAGGATTTAGAGTGGGTGGCCCCTGAATCTGAGATTTCTGCAAGTGGATCCAGAGGGAATCTCACAGCAGGCGAGTCAGGATCTGCAGGAGGGCATTCCTCAGCAGGCTGGAGCAGGAGCTGTGCAGGGACAACGGGGACTCTTTTCAAGGGCATATTTTTGGTGTCAAGTAAAAGTGAAAAGACTTTGTGAAAAGTAAAAGACTTTGTCCCAGGTGCTAACATCATCAGCCATGGGAATTCCATCCGTGAGGGGAGTGCATGTGTGGGACAGCCCTTTCCCAGCCTGCTGCCAGCGCCCTGAGGGGGCTGTTGGTGTCTCTGCTGGAGCTGCAGGAAGGACTTCCACCAGTGCTGCAAAACGAAAATACAGCAGAGAGCCCAGACCCGCTCTTTTTCTGTGAAAGAGAGCCAAAAAAAGCACCTTTAACTGTAGAATGTTCCACTCCGAGTGCAGAGGTTTCACTCCGGTGTCACGGCCATGCACTGAGAGCAGAGCATGGAAATGTTTGTGCCCCAATCAAATCAATTAACCTGGCTCTGGTGGGCACCTCAGACAGATCCAGGATTCTGGAATGACATCTCTGTGCTTCTCAGCCTATCCAGAGGAACATCTTTTGCCAAGGAATGCTATGCTGAGTTTCCAAAGCTCCAGTAATAACATGCTCACTTCTCGTGTCCTTATTGCAACAGCATCAGGGATACAGAATCTCACAGAAATATAGAAAATAGTGGTTGGATCTTGGTGTGTTTATTTGACACTATTTTTTTTAAAAAAAGATTCATATTCTGGAAGCAATGTTGCAGTGGGAGCCACCTCTCTGCAAGATGTAAGTGAGCACTAATAAAATCTGCTGGAGATTTCAGTCTTCTGCAGTCTGTGCTGCGCACCCACCAGGCAGTGAAGGACTTTGGAGATGGAATTTTAGCACCCTCAGTGGTATCTCAAGTGTCTGCTTTTGTGCACAAGTGGGAAGAGAAGGGGTTGGTGTGGGATTAAGCCTCAATCTGAGCCAAAGTGACAGGAAAGGCAGAAATGCAGAAATCTTGTGGTGCCCTGTGCATGTCTGGGTGCATTTTGATTAAGGAGATGGTTTAATCTCATTATGTTTTTATGGCTTTGTAATGAAATCCTTCATCCTCAGAAAGGGCCCTGCTGATGAGCCAGCAGACACCACCCCATGCATATTAATTATGGTAATGTATTAATTGTGTGCACTGCCAGCCAGGTCACCCTGCTCAGACCCTGAGTTCCCTGAATGCAGAGAGGGATTTTCTGACTCCTGGCCATCCACCTCCTGTTCCCAGTCTCTGAGATAGATCTGCTGGGGTGGTGGGGCTGGGACATCACCTGCAGGATGGGTTTTATAATCTCCTGGCCCCAAGGTTCACCAAAGCTCCATGATCTCCATCAAAGTGCAGCATTTCAGGACTCCTCTACCTGCAAACTGAATCATAGGATCACTTGGGCTGGAAAAGACCTTTAAAGCTCATCAGAAAAGGTACCAGCAACCAGGCTCACTCCTGGGAGCATTTTTTCCCCCCTAATATCAGTTATTCAGCAACACTGGATGTTTTCAGTTTGGGATCTTCCTAAATGATGGCACGGTGGACTCAGGAGAGCTCCCACTGCTGTCACTCACACAACGCCTGGGGGTGAGAAAAACAGCTGAAAGAGAGCCAAGAAATGAAATTCGGATGAACTCTGACCCCTTGTGGACAATTAGCAGATGAAGGTGATGGAGGAGGGGGGAGCTCTCCATGCTCTGGGCTCCCCCAAGGCCTTGGGCAGGGTTTGTGGCACCAGAGAGCCAAGCTGAGCTCTGGGATGGAGGGTGTGCCCTCAGCATCACCCCCGTGCTCCAGGGACACATCCTGGACACAGCATTTTGCCCTAAAACCTCTGTTCAGAGCCCAGTTTGAGCCAGCAGACCTCATCCCATCACCCCAGCTGTCCTTAGTGCCACATGAGTCACAGAATAGTCGGGGTTGGAAGGGATTAAATTAGGCCTGGCTGTATTTAAGAACCTTGATAAGCAAATTGGCTGCTGTCACTCATTGGACTGAAGAGAATGCATGTACTGGCCAGCATTTAATTAGGTAATTAACTATAAAAGTGTCTTTAAAATCTAACATTTTGCAGATGTACTTAATCCTGTGTGGTTTTAAAGGCCATCCAGCAGCTGTGTCTGAAGGAGCAGCAGGCAGACCTTCCAGCTTTGACTTCCAAGGAAAACCAGGCAGATGAGGACTTGAAAAATGGTTTCTTGGCAAAGGGAGAGGTGACCTGAAGAGACAGAAGGGGCAGTGGGCAGTGCTTTTACCAGAGACAAGGCCATGGCCAGCTGGAAAAGGATGAATTCCCGAGCAGCAGAAATTCCCAGCTCTCCCAGGAAAAGGGCTGTATCCCACACCCACCTCTCTGAGGGGAGGAACACCCCCATGCTCAGCTCCAGCCCCTCTTCACTCCCTATCCTGACAACTCCAGGGTGGAGAGCAGGAGGCCTCCACTGCTGCTTCTCAGGGCAGGTAAACCCGTGAAGGAATCTTTCTTCTGTGTTTCCATCACAGTCTGAGCCTCTCCCTCCTCATGGGCCTGCTTTGGCCTCATGGCAGGGCTGTGGTGGCCTGGATGGGGCTGCTGGGATGGGGAACACGGAGCAGAGCATCCTGTCCCATCCTGTGTGTGCTGAGGGGATTGGGAGGGACCTGGAGGGACAAAAGCAGCTCTGAGGTCCAGCATCTTGGTGAAGGAAGGGGATGAGCCAGAGATCTTCCCAAAGGCAGCACTTCCCTGATGCTCAGAGCAGCTGGAGCTGCTAAAGCTGAGGCTGCTGCAGGAGATAAACATGCAGACCTTGCTTTTTGGAGTTTGTGGGAACGTGAAAGAGAAGCTGAGAAAGAAAATCATCTGTCTGGGGAGCCTGCAGGAGCAGAGTTACAAGGCCCTGCTTGTTGCCCGTGTCCCATGTGGGACCTGACTGCATCCAGGCGTTTTGGGGGCTGAATCCCAACCTTTCCATGGCAGCCTGGAGCAGAGTCTGGATGAGCTGCCAAATGTCAGCACCACAACGATTAAGAGGCTGAAAACAGAACTATTTGTGCTCAGTGTCACTGAGAGCTCTAAACTCAACTCCTTTGGTAAAACGAAGGGAAAAGCTTTAGTAACAGAGTAGGAGTTACTAATTTCTACCTACAGAGACAGTTTTTCTGGCAAATGCTCCTTGCAGGAAATGAGTCAGAGGAGTGAATCAGTCTGCAGTGCCACATGAAGATGATTTTCAGCTCTAACCATTATATTCAACATGGGAAGGAATCACTGTAATGAAAATTATAACCCTGAGAGGAAAGCCCCGATAAAACCCAACTCCTCCTGCCTGTGTTGCCTTGTGGAGGACGAGTTACCAAATTTACTGGTCCTGGTTACAAAAGCTGGCAAGAGAAAGGTGGCCCAACACTTCAACACGTGGCATTTTGCTGATGGCCAAGAGGCAGAAATTGGCAGTACCTAAAAAGTAAAATTATCTGGCGGAAAAAAGAGTCAGACTGGGGCTGCCATGGTGATGAGAAATAGAAGCTGGTGGCGTGACCAGGTCTCTGTGTGTTCCAGCTGCTTAAATACATTAACAGAACACTTCAGGAGCACTGGCTGTGTTCACAGCAGTCACATTTTCCAAGCCCACTCCCTGCTACCCTTTTGCATGTGCTCTGTGCCTGTAATGCCAGAGGAAGCGGGTCCAGGAGGTCCTCTGAGGGGCTCAGAAGGCCTTCCACCCACATAATGCCCAACACAGCCCCAGATATCCCTGGAAGTGCTCAAGGCCTGGTTGGACAGGGCTTGGAGCAGCCTGGAAGTGACACAGTGACACAGTGGAAGGTGTCCCTGCCCATGGCAGGGGGTGGCACTGGATGGGTTTTAAGGTCCTTTCTAACCCAGATCATTCTGTGATTCAGTGCTTGACACCCACGCTCTGAGCGTTGGGCCGTGCCCATGATGGGGTCTGGGACATGCCCTCCTTTCATCTGTGTATTCCTGCCTTGCTCCCAGAGACCAAACCACAGGAGATCTTGAGGAGATGGCAAAGGATGGGCAGCTTCTCCTGCTGCCCCGTGATCAGTGTGGCACAGCTTCACTTGTGCTCCTGGGACTGACACACCAGGAACGGTGTGGTGTTCCCTGTGGGAACAGTGGGATCTCTGATAGGGCAGCTCTGAACACGATTCCAGGATGTTTCATGTTTCAACATTCCCAACCCTCTGCTTCGTGCTGAAAAGCCACATGGGAAATGCAGAAGTGAGCACTGACAACTCTTGCAGTGTCTTTGCCTTCATGTCCCATTTTTCTCCCCACAGGAATGACCCACCCACCCTACACCACCACAGCCTCTTCCAGCAACCCAGTCATGACCCAGAGCAACCAGAGCTGCTCCCGTCAGGACATCACCTTCAAGAGCAGCCTCTACGCCACCACCTACACCCTCATCTTCATCCCGGGGCTGCTGGCCAACAGCGCTGCCCTGTGGGTCCTGTGCCGCTTCCTCAGCAGGAAGAGCAAAGCCGTCATCTTCATGATCAACCTGGCCGTGGCCGACCTGGCCCACGTCCTGTCCCTGCCCCTGCGCATCTACTACTACATCAACCACAGCTGGCCCTTTGGGGATGTCCTGTGCTTGCTGTGCTTCTACCTGAAGTACCTCAACATGTATGCCAGCATCTGCTTCCTCACCTGCATCAGCGTCCAGCGCTACTTCTTCCTGTACCACCCCTTCCGAGCCAAGGGCTGGAAGCGCCGCTACGACGTGGCCATCAGCGCCCTGGTCTGGCTCGTGGTGGGGGCCGCCTGCGTGCCCTTCCCCATCATGAGGAGCCACGGGCTGGGTGCCAACACCACCAGCTGCTTTGCCGACCTGCAGGTGAAGCCGATCGACAGCAAGGTGGGCACGGTGCTGATGACCGGCACCGCCGAGCTCCTGGGCTTCGTGGGCCCGCTCATCATCATCTTAGTCTGCACGTGGAAAACAAGAGACTCCATCCGGGGCTTCCATATCCCACAGGAAAACAGCGGGGAGAGGAGGAAGGCCCTCAGGATGGTTTCTATGTGTGCCATTGTGTTCTGCGTGTGTTTTGCTCCCTACCACATCAACTTCTTCTTCTACATGTTGGTGAAGGAGAACGTCATCACCGACTGCTTCGTGAGCACCATCACGCTCTACACCCAGCCCTTCTGCCTGAGCCTCGCCAGCTTTGACTGCTGCTTGGACCCCATCATCTATTTCTTCATGACTTCCGAGTTCCAGGAACAGATTTCCAGGCACAGCAGCATGGTCATCCGGAGCCGGCTCATGAGCAAAGAGAGCGCCTCGTCGATGAAGGAATGAGAAGAAGGCCACTTGGAAGAAACAAAAGTATTTCATATGAAATCTGAGACTGGTCTGGGATACTCCATTACCGACTCCGTTGTGGAAGATCCTGCAGGTTTATCCAAGGGTGTTTTGTGGCAGTGGAATTTTTAAAGTTTATAGAAGATAAAACCTTGTCTAAGACTGGTGTGTTGGAATCTGGTGAGTGACCCAATCGATGAGGCTGTCCCCTCCCTGTGCCACCCCCAGCTGACCTCACTGGACTAGACAATACACAGGAAGGAGTGAAAAAACTTTGACTGGGAAGTGGTGGAAAAGTCCCAGGCTTTTTTCTATTCTCGCAGTTGCTGGCTCTGTGATCAAGCCAGAGACAATCGCACATTCATACACTGACTTCTGCTGAAGGATCTCCTCTGGGAAAACCACACAAGAACCTAAAGCTGGCCAGGAGCAACCAAAGGACCTTGTGGTTTGTGGAGTGGGGGCTGTGGACAGGTGAAGGTGTGCAGGTGGTTTCCATGTGCTCCTGGGTTTGGTGCACCCCACTGGTCACCAGTGACCTCTGCTCCCCCTTTCCTCACTCATCCTCCTGCTCTGCTCCTCCTTTCCCTCCTCCCAGCTCTGTTTGCTCCCTAATTGCTGACACATCCCAGAACTTGCACCTGCAGATGGTGTAAGACCCTCTGCAAGACAGATTCTCCTCAAACATCCAGAAGTTGGCACCTTCCCTTGCTCCAGGTGACTTTACTCCCCTCCAAGCTGGCAAGGGGGACATGGGCAGGTAGCTTTTGCCTTTGGACCCCTTGGGGCAGGACCATGGTGGTCATGGGGTCAGTGCAGGTGGGTTTGAAGGTGCTGATGGTACCACTCAGGTCCTCACTCCCTTCCGTGCGTGGTCCAGAGGTACCTGAGATGAATCTGTCCCAGAAAAGCTCAGCTCAACCTGTTCAGTTGATGAATCTTTTAAAAAAGAGAGGAGCCCTTGCCAAGGTGATTTTACTGATAGACCAGAAGTTAAATTCATAAATTATTGTGATTTTTTTTCCACCAGGTCCTGTCATGATCCTAATGTTTACATTTTTAGGTAGCTATGCAAAGCAGCAACAAGGAAGGATTCATTTACCCCTCATTTTTAATTAGTTACTGCTCTTCAGCCAAGTCCACCCACTCTGTAACTTCAAGGGTATCTCGTGATACCTGGGGATGGATTTGGCTGAACCATCACCAATTTATTGCCTTTGGAAATCAGTATATTTTCAAAAGAATGCGAAAAATTTATAAGGTCTTGCAACAGTTGCTACAAAACCAAAAGAAATACCAGAAACACTTGCTATGTGTATTTTAACTCCAACCACTCAATTCCACTGAGTTAAAATGTAACACAGACAAATATTTCCTGTATATTGTGTTTTCCCACTTCTCTGCTTTACAAAAAACAAAGGGAAAAACCAAGGACCGGGATTTAAACAATTTCCCTCTAAAAGGCAACGACACTGACACAAACACAATAAGCTCTCCTAGTTCTCCTCCCAGGTGTGAGAAGATGATTTTGGGCTGAGTAGGATGCACTGGAGTCGATGGAAATGTTCTCTCTGATGTCACTGACACAAGAAATGTTTACACGCTGCAAGGAGTCCCCTTCCAAAGGCAGAGCTGACCTCACACAATTCAATTGTTGTCAGTTCAGCAGTCTCTCATAAGCTACACTCTGTTTAAAGTTGTCAGGGAAGGAGACTTCAGTTTCAGTGCTTGTTTTGTGAATTTTTATAGACCTTTCTAAGCCTCCAAGTGACTGGGAGCTGTTTCCTGTCCCTTCACTTTCGCACCCTTCTCCCTCGATCAGGTGAAAACAAGCTGAGGGCACTTACGGGAACTCTGTAGCTCATTCTGCGGGTTTTACTTCCCAAGAACTGATGCTCAAAAAAAGAAAAATAAAGGCTGTTTTGCAAACATCAGCTGAGTTTTGTAGTTATCACTGGTACCTGGAAAATCACGTGGGATCAGCCCCTCCTGGGATCAGGGTTCAAGCGAAGGAGCGCAACTTTTATTATTCTTAAACAGATTTGTTGCTTGTTTTCACTCTGAGTAGAGGCCATTTATTTAATTTTTGATTCTACCACACTTCTATTAGATTTAGAAGTATTTTGAGGATGGGAAGGTGTCCTAGGTAGTGGAAGATGGCATGGGAATACCTGCTGCAGCTGCTGAGTGTCCAGGAGTGACAGCAGCTCTTCTGGCCAAACCTTAGCACGGATTTGGTGTCTCCATCAGGGATACCATTCCCCATCTCCATGATGACATCCTCAAGCAACTCTTCACATTTTCCTGCCTCACTCATCCTCTGAACTCCTTTAGGTTCTCCAAAGTGCTCCTTTTCCATACTGCAGCCCCAGCCTGTGAGGAAAAGTCACCCACTCAACCCTTTCAATCCTGTGGTGTGCAGGGGATCAGATAACTCTGTCTGAAAGCCTCTTCTGCTGTGGGGGAAAGGGCCCTGCTTTTGGCTGGGGAAGAGATAAACCAGCTCCGTGGGGCTCAGCTGCCAGGTGAGGTTAAACCTGCAGGGAAAGTCAGTCAGGATGGGCCAGCCTAGAGAGCAAGAGCTCAGAGAGAGATCAGGGAAAACCTGAAGTTTTCTGAGAGTCCAAGATGATCCAATCGGCCTCCACAAACCCACACCTGAAATCCAAACTCTTCAGTTCAGGCCTTCCAGAACCTCAGTGTGCATCTCCAGAGAAGGAAACAGGCATTCCAGTGAGGAGGAGGAGGAGGAGAGCATTCCAGCTGCCTTCCCAGCTGGCTGGTGCTGGATCTGACCCAGGACCTGGGCTGCAGGGGCTGCTTTGCCTCACACAGGCAGAGGCACAACAAAGCTGGCTCAGGTTCCTGTAATTCACCCCATTTCCTGTGACCAAAAAACATGTTTATTATTTTGACAAGAGGAAATATAATTTCATGATGTTGCTCCTGGATTATCTCTTGTGCTTGTCCTGCTGCTCAGACTCACAAGTGGAAAAAATACTTTTCCTCCTTTTTGGGCAGACACAAAGAAACTGTTTTAACAGACATGCCACAGAAAGGCAGAATTGAACCAAATCAAGAGGTTTGGTGCAGCTCCACAGGGGTGTGAAAGATGGATCTGAAGGGCTCCTGGGGCTGGAGCATCTCACCCTGAAGGGAACTGCTCAGGATGGAGACGTGGTGAGGTCTCCAAGCCACCTGCACTGGCACCGTGCCCGACCCCGAGGCACAGCCCTGGGCAAACACATTTCTTTTCCTCTACAACATGAGCCATTCACCTTTTAGCAAAAGGAAAGGTGTTTCTCTGCAGTGCTACCCCATCCTAACCAGGAGCAGATGTCTGCTACCTCCTCTGCAGCTTGAAAGGGCCCTCCCATCCATGAGAACAAACATATTTGGAAAAATCTCCAATTTAAAGCCTTTCTGCAGCTTCACGTTCTGAGCTGCAGAATCTTGCAGTATCTCTTGCTTCTCTTAAATGAAATTACCATCTCTCTGCCCAGAGGAAAAACAAAATATGCTGGAAATGCAGGATAACAACTCCACGGTTCAAAAATATGAAACCACTTCATTGCACTTAAAAGATTTTGGGGACGACTGGTGTGTTTAAACCAAAAACGCTGGGTTTGTGGATTAGACAAAGGCTTGGCCCAAAAAGTAAGGGAGGCATTGAAAATTATTTGCTGTAAAATAAATCAGAGCTTCCCAAAATGCTGTTGCTGCACAGAGCTCTGTGTGGCAGCGAGAGGGACAATGACCTGGGGGCTCACCCAGCCCTGCTCAGCTCCCTGCACAAGGGTGAAGCTGCTTTGTGTGAACAAACCTCCTCCTCCCCCTGCTTTTCATACATCCTTCAGGTGCATCCTGTCAGATATTCTCAATGCTGAGTGCTTGAGAGATGCTGATCATCTGCATTTGGCCCCCTGCCCACAGGATACCAGGCTGTAGGAGAAGAGAACTTTATCTGGAGGCCTTAGATAAAGTCTCACAGTTTTTTAAAAAGTTATTAAATAAGTTCCTTTGTGTCTTCTGCCTTTGAAAGTGGAGCGTTGCCAAGTGTGAAAAGCATTGGGGATGAGCCAGAGAAACAGAAATGCTGAACAAAAACATGCTCAAGTTGGAAGAGGAATGGAGAGGTTGATCCGTGTGCATTGAAGGATGATGCCTGAGGTTTGTCAATCCCTCAGCTTTTCATGGCCAGGAATGTTGGGATCTTCTGCTAAAGTTCTCCAAAAAGCCAAGGAGCAGAGGAAGGGCTCAGTTTGGTTACAAAGCCCTCTCTTGGGTCTGACATCCACTGATCTCCTTCCCCAGCAGCACAGCTGGAAACAAACACCTAAAAATAGGGCTCAGGGATGGCTGGATACACTGCTGCAGACACAGAAATAGGATGTTCCAGGCAGGATATCCTGATAAAACAGCCCCTTCACTTTGGGATTAACCTCTGCCCTCTGGAGAGGGACAGGGCACAGTGCCAGCCTCCCTTCTGTGGTCTCTGAACGCTCCACAAACACACGAGTGCTGCTCCTTCTTCCCAGGATCTGCACCAGCTGCTGGAAGAGAAGGAAAAACTGGGAGCGACAAACAGCTCTTGCATCTCCCAAATCCTTGCAGATGAGAACCATGGGGATTTAGGGTGCCCAGAAAAGCTGAGGCTGCCACATTCCTGAAAGTGTCCAAGGCTGGACAGGGCTTGGAACAACCTGGGATAGTGGGAGGTGTCCCTGCCCATGGCAGGGGTGCTGGAATCAGAGTCTTTAAGGTCCCCAGTCCAAATCACTGTCAGGTTCCATGATTTCTTGGCACAAGGAGACCTGGCAGCTGAGTGAGTGGCAGAACTCCTGATCCCAGCCCCTGAGCTCGTAACTAAAGTTGATAAGATCTTCCTCCTTTCATTTCTCTTCCATAGTTCTGTTCCCGTTAATTTTATGAGAACCTTTTACAAAAAATAGGGTAAGAATATTTCTGTTTTTACAGGAGGGGAGAGCTGCCAACAGCCAAATTATCTGTACAAGCCCTGTGCTGTGAGCAGTGACCCTGGATATCAGGTAAAACTGCTCAGCTGGAAAAGAGGCAGCTCAGAAGAAGTCACACCATGAAATCACACCACTTCTTCAGCAGTGCAGAAAGGAGATCATGCTCAGCAGGCAGAAAACCAGATGAAAGCTCTCTATATGTGCAATTATATAGGAAGGGAATTAAAGGAATTAAAGAAAAAGATTGGGAATGACGCACATTACGGGATTTTTAAACAACAATACTTTGTGAAAATCTCCACCTTAAACCATCACATTATTTCAGGAATAAAGTCCAAACCCTCCAGCTTTAGCCTGCAGCCTTGATAGTCTGAGGCTAACCAAGCTTCCAAGAAAATGAGGGAAAATTACTCCCTTCCAGTAACTGACACTGGCAGAGCGCTCGGTTTTCCTCCAGCGAGAACTTATTGGGAGGTTGCTTCTGTATTTTACAGCTCATCCCAGGCAAAGTGACGGCGGAGAGGAGCAGGAGCAGCCGGAGGGAAGGGCAGCATCCCCTCCCACATCCCCGCTGCCCAGAGGGGACCGAAATCCGCGCTCTCCATCCCGGGGCACCGGCACCAAAGGGCGTCATCGCTGCACCCCTTTGGTGTGGAAAAGAGAAACAAAATACAGGATTTCCTGCTCTGCAGCCACCGGACCGGGCTGCAGATGCCGGCAGGATTCCGAAAACATGTGGAAGTCGAAGGAGGAGGCGCTGGGGCTGCTGAGAAATCCAGCGGGCGATAAAAGCAGGGCTCCGGCTGCTGCTGCTGCTCCCTAGCGCGGCTATGACCCCCCCGGAGCATGGGAAGCGCAGGAAGGTGAGTGGAATTTCTGCTTTTTTCTTCAGGACGCTGAAACCGGCGCAGTTTTAGCGACTTTATCGCTTCTTTGTGGTTCAAGAGATGGTATCGGGCAGGAGCTGGTGCAACATCCTCAGCCGCTTCTGCTGTGCCCGCAAGTTTGTCTCCGAGGGTGGGTGAGAGGGGCCGGTGCTTGGGACAGGCTGTGGTGTTGAGGAGGACGTGGGGGGAGGCTGTTTTAGCCAAAAAACCTCAATTTTGTCCTTACTGACAGAGGCTGCCATAAGCCACCGGCTCTATTTTCGCATTTCCTATTACTGTTCGTTTGTTTGATTAAAGAAACAAAATTGTTTCTTGCAACCCCAGCCTCCAGTAAACTCCACTACTTAAACCAAGACCTCATTTCAAGCCATAAATGGATTTATTATTATTTTTTTTTAATTTTTTTTTTTCCCCCAAGCCTGCAGGGAGGCAGCTCTGCCCCCACGCCCCAGCTCAGAGGGCTCTCCCCAGCCATGCCTGGAGCTCAGCTTCAGCCTGGGCTGTCCCAGCAGCCCATGGAAAAGATGAGGGCGAGTTTGCCCATGGATGGGGAGCTGTAAATGCAGGAACACCCCGGTGGTGTGGGGCTGGGTGGGGCACGGGCTGATTCACAGGAGCCGGGCGGTTTCCAGCGCTGACAGTCACATTCTCCTCCAGGAACACTCCAAAAATCAACCCCTGGAGCTCCAAGAGCTGCCTCGGCCTCCAATTAATTGCAGAGTTTTTTGATGTTTAATGAATGGCGGAGCTACAGTCGGTGCTCTGACTCCTCGGGCACTGATATTGGGCTCCCTTCTGGAATTTCAGCTGATTAAAACTCAGCTTTGCCAAAAAAACCCCAACCACACTCCTTGCTCCTGCTCCGTGTTTAAATGTGTGGATGAAATGGGAAAATAATCAAAGAATGTCAGGAATATTCTATAGAAGATTTATAAAGGCACTGAACAAAACTTGAGACAGAGCCTGCAGGAGCATCTCTGTCCTGACACCACCAGCAAAGCAGGGGGAAGCTGGAGGGACATGGGGCAAAGGGAAAACTGGAAAACAATAAAAAATGTACAGCTCCACCTTCCCAGGAATTGCTGTAAAGAACAAGCCTGGCCTGACCCCAGCCCAGGGTGGGGATCTCTGGTGCTTTCCTGCCAGTGGCCTGCAGAGCACTGCCACCCAAAGCTATGGGTACCAGGAGTGTCACCCAGCCCTCCCGCCAGGAACAGGCACTGCTGTGCTCCAGGGAAAGTCAAAAACACGGAGGAAAGCAGCAGGGAGGCTCCCCATGGAAGGAAGAGGTGTAGGATTTGGGCTGAGCTGTGTGGCAGGGACAGCAGGGGCTCTGTGACCCTTTCCATGAGCCCACCCCAAGTGCCACCTCTGTGACGGGACAGCTGTGACAGGAGGTGGGAACAGCTGCATTCCCCAGCGCTCCCTGGCAGTTTTTCCTCTATTTTCTGCAGGGATGTGAAGACAAGTCCTGCCACCCCTTTCCCTGGGTTATACAGACTGAGTGCACAAGTCCCTCGTGGGTTTTTGGGCAGGTGAGGAGCACAGAGGAGCTTTTTGCCAGTATTCCCCCAGCACAGATGTTCCCTCTCCCCTGCCTTTCCCAACTCAGTGGAGCAATCACAAACCTCTGGCACAGTCGGCAGCCGAGAGATGCCCTCACTCAGCAGCCCCAGTTTTTCCACTGGAAAAACAAGGAAAAGCAAGAAGGCAGATTGGGAAAGGCTCGGTTTGGAAAGCAGGGTGTGAGCTCTGACCCTGCTCACATCAGAGGTGAGGCAGGCTGGGGCTATATTTCAGATATTTGTCTGTGCATAAAAATATAAAATATCTAAAATGAGGGCTTCCTCCTGAACCTGAAAATGTGGTAACCCCACCAAGGAGCTGCCCAGGTGAGGGGGAGCAGGATGGAGGAGACGTCATCCTGTACTTTGAAGCATTGGGATGGATTTGCTCCTGGAATTCCATCCCTGTGACAAGGACCAGGCTCTGGGAAACAGCACTGTGGCTGCTTCTTAATTAATTACTGCTGATGAGGGGCTGGGTGACAGTGACAGGAGGTGCTGAGGGCTCTGCTAGCCCCAGCTCCAAGCAGGGAAGGGCAGGGAAGGCTCCATTTCCAAGGGGAAAATCCCACTGCTCATTACTGACGATGCTGCAGCCCCATGGTTTTTATCCTGCTGCCGCCAAATCCTCTCTTCCCAAAAGAACAGATCCTTTCCCATGGGATCTGCTCATGAATGGCAAAATCCATCACCTCTCCAGAGAGCAGCAGGAGCACCTGAACTCCCCATGACCCTCTAATAAATCCCCTGAGCACTGGGTGAGCTGGGATGGGTAAATGGAGGAGAAGAATTCATACTTCAACTAGAGAGGAGTTGTATTTATCTCCCTGCATGTCCTGAGCAGTTGCTGAAGGATAATTCCTGCTGCTGGGGGATAATTCCTGCTGCTCCAGCACGATGCCTGCACAATGTGCTGGGAGTGCTGGAATTGAGTTAGCAGGACCAGCAGAGCAACTGGCGTGTGTTTGGCCAGTTATTAACTTATAAATGCAGCCTTAACTCTGGAGCCAGAGCTGATGGATCTGTCTGCAGCTCTCCCCTGGCCTCAGCTGCCTGGGGATGTTAATTATTGCATTTGCTGCCGATTCACATCAGATCCCTGCACGGATCTGCAAAGACAATGCCTAAATCCATTTCAAATCCCTATTTATTTACAGTCCAGCTGCAACTGCTTGTAGATGTAGAGCACCAATTTGACAGAGTGTGATGGAAAACTTGATGAAATAAAAGTGGTCCTGGAAAACCCGGAGAGCTGCAGAAGCTCTCTGGCAATCAAGAGATGGATGTTACAGAGCTCAGGGTATTTGCTGTAATTGGGGAATCTCACGAGATCCCACAGAGCACCTCTGCAAGGGGAGGGTGGAGGATGCCTGGAATCACTCCCTGGGAGTGGGGTCACCCTTCCCACCACGCACATTGGCTTGCACACACACCAACACACAACTGACTCTTCTGTCCTAAAGCACGCTTGCTCCATGCAGAGATTTTGGCTTTACAGCATCTTTTTACTCACTCCAGAACCTCTCCCCCTGCCGTGACTGCCCCATGAGCAGAGAGACCCGGCGAGGATGGAGAGCAACACGTCCTCTGGGAACTGTTCCTACCCCCAGATGTCCTTCCAGTCCACCCTCTACGCCACCACCTACACCCTCATCTTCATCCCGGGGCTGCTGGCCAACAGCGCTGCCCTGTGGGTCCTGTGCCGCTTCCTCAGCAGGAAGAGCAAAGCCGTCATCTTCATGATCAACCTGGCCGTGGCTGACCTGGCCCACGTCCTGTCCCTGCCCCTGCGGACTTACTACTACATCAACCACAGCTGGCCCTTCGGGAGCTTCCTGTGCCAGGTGTGCTTCTACCTGAAGTACCTCAACATGTACGCCAGCATCTGCTTCCTCAGCTGCATCAGCATCCAGCGGTACCTGTTCCTGCTGCACCCCTTCCGAGCCAAGGGCTGGAAGCGCCGCTACGACGTGGCCATCAGCGCTCTGGTCTGGCTCTTGGTGGGGGCTGCCTGCCTGCCCCTCATCATCGTCAGGAGCCCAGCCCTGTCCAACTCCATCAACAGCTGCTTCTCGGACCTGGGTGTGAAGCAGCTCAGCCCGGGGGCCGCCATTGCGCTGGTGACGGTGGCGGAGCTGTTCGGCTTCGTCATCCCCTTTGGCACCATCGCCTGCTGCACGTGGAGGATGTGGCATTCCCTGCGGGAGGGCCCCACGGCGCTGCAGGACGCTGGTGAGAAGCGCAAGGCCCTGAGGATGGTCCTCATGTGCGCCGCCGTCTTCTTCATCTGCTTCACCCCCTACCACATCAACTTCCCCTTCTTCATGATGGTGATCGAGAACGTCATCCGGGACTGCGCCGTGCACCGGAGCACGCTGCGCTTCCACCCCATCTCCCTGTGCCTGGCCAGCCTCAACTGCTGCCTGGACCCCGTCCTCTACTACTTCATGACCTCCGAGTTCCAGGCGCAGCTGCTGCGCCACGGCTGCGTGGCCCTGAGGGCTCGGCTCCCGCCCCGCCGGAGCAGCGCCTCCGGCACCGACAGCGCCCACGACATCCGTGTCAGGAAGAGGAATCTCCCTCGCCTCAAGTTCTGGTCTCTTCCCAAGTTCTTCGGCCAAATAAACAGCATGGACATCCCCCCCGTGCCGCCCGACGAGCTGCTCCTGGAGTCCATCTCCTGAGCGCCAGCGAGTCCTGTCCGTGCAGGGGAGTCCCAGAGCTGCAGTGAGGAAGGCCTGCTCTACTCTCCAAATCCCTCTGGAATTGTCCTTGTGTGCTGCAGATGCCAGGACCTGACCCATCAGGACGTTGTGATGCCGGAAGGTTTGCTGGTTGTGTTGTTGCTGCTGGGGACTCTCGTTTTCCGTCCCCTCGAAAGCCGTTGTTGATGCCGAGGTTCCCCGTGCTGAACCGGGTGTTCAGGTGCCTCCTTTCGGGTGTTTCAGTGCTTCTGCATGTTTGCTGTTTTGGGGGATCCTTCTGAACCCCAAGCTGTGAGTGAGAGGCACAGCCTTGGCCCAGCTCTGGGGATTTCAGCCCTGATCCTGGGCAGCTTCAGCCACCATCACCTGGAGCATCCACCACACCCACAGGGCTCTGGGTCAGGATCCCTTCATTATCTCCACATAAACTGAACTTTTTCCACTACAAAAATCCATCACTCGGGTCCAATCCAGCCTAAGCTGGACTGCAAGACTATAACCAAGCAAAGAGTATTAACCAATATCACATCAGTGTTATAAAGGAGGGTTCAATCAAACTGGGCTCAGCTCACTCTGCTGGAAAAGGCCCCCAGAGCTGAGCAGAAGGATCCACCTGGCTCCTGGGAGCCACAGGCGCTCAGCTGATTTGGGGGGATCAATATTTGGAAGACAAATTATGACAGATATGCCACAAGCAAAGAGGGAGACGTGACACCTCCCAGGGCACATTAACTCACAGAGCTCTGGTGTGAGCTGCAGAAACAGGGACTTGTCTTTGGTGTCTCTTGTGTTGTCATTGGGAGTCTTGTGTTATTTGTCATGTTCCTGACACGTGTGGTTGCACTTGAAGATCTCATCCAAACCTTCAGTTTTGCTTTGGACACCACAAACCATCCCAACCCTCACCGGGTACTGAAAGAATTTACAAAACTGACTCAAGTACACCCTGAAAGCTTCAAACTCCGAGGAAATAAAATGATCCAGTGTGTGTTTGAGCTTCAGAAGTATTATTTTAAATGCTTGGAAATATTCTCATTATGCCCCACATCTGCTCTCAGAGCAGTGACACATTTTGGGGAGGGCACCCCAGTCTGGGACTCAGAGAAGCCTCAAAGAGTGGCCATTCTGAGGTCTCCTTCTCCCAAAAATCCCTCAGGGAATTTTTTAAGTAAACCTAGGCAGAGAGGGATTGATAGAAAACAGCTTTTGCCATGATTTGATGCACATTTCCACCCCGTGCAGCGTTTCTGGGAAGCACGGAATGGGTACTGAGGCTGGATGGGGGAGACCAGACAGGAGATCCAGACAAACTGGAGGAATTTGCTTTGGTACTTAAAGTGTGCCAGAGACAGGCAGAAAATCCCAGGAGCAGGCAGAAAAGCTGCTGCCCTGGGGCTCATTCTGTCCCAGATCTCCTCCTCCTCTCACAAAAATTATAAATAACAAAAGGCCATGTTTTCCTTGTTTGCTTGGGGGGGGGAAGAAAAAAAGAGCTTTCAGTGCTGGAAAAATGCTGTTTCAGATGGCCCAAACCCAGCAGAGTGTGGAGGCAAAACAGGAAACCCAAGGAAACCTCACCAATGCCAGGACTGGCTCCGGGCAGCTTCCACAGACAGGTAAAACCACACCAGCAGGATCTCCACCAGGACTGTGCCTGTTCCTTTTTGGGAATGGCACAACCCCGAGGAGCTGGGCTGGACCTCCAGGTGGCCCTGAATGACCACAGACAGGTCATTTATAAGCCCCCCTGAGCAACAGCAAACCCTGGATTGTGGCTCCAATTTTACTCCACTGGCAGCACCAGCTCCAGGTTTCCCAGGAGCTCCAGTTCCCACCGGGACTTTGCCACTTTGTTTTCAGCTTGTTTTCTTGACATTTCTGCAACACAGCTTGCCCCTTCCAAAGAAAGAACAGGAAAGAGCGAACGTAAAGCTCTCAGTAATGTCACATGGAGACTCAGCGGCCAACCCTCCCTCAGGCTGTGCCTGCCTCAGGCAGGGGAAATAAAGCTGAAAAATCCCTTGCTGGGTTGGACACCCTGGCTAGCAAGGATTTTGCTGGGTTTTCTGTAAATCAGTCTCTGAAGAAACATCCTTTTCCAGTACAAACTGCTGCTTCCTGCTCTTCCAATGCCTGCCAGCCTCCTGTTTGATCTGTCCTAGGATCATCATGGAATGGTTTGGGTTGGGAGGGACCTTAAAGCTCATCCCACCCCCTGCCATGAGCAGGGACACCTCCCACTGTCCCAGGCTGCTCCAAGCCCTGTCCAACCTGGCCTTGGACAATTCCAGGGATCCAGGGGCAGCCACAGCTTCCCTGGATAACCTGTGCCAGGGCCTCCCCACCCTCACAGGGAACAATTTTTTCCCAAGATCCCATCTAAACCTTCACTTACATATCCCTGAAATTATGCACTCCTTGGGAGTATCCAGGCTGTCCCTTGCACGACACTTTTTAGGGCCCCACAGGGAGGGAGGGAGGGGAGCTGCTTTTCTCCTTGCTAAAAATACCTTTACCCTCCCTCCATGACCACATGCTCCCAGTCCAGCCCCAAAGTGACTTTGCCTCTGGAAAACCTCTGTGGAGCCCTCACAATCGAGCCTCTCCTGATTTTTGGCACCACTGCTGGCAAGGGGCAGCTTCTCCACCCACCCACCTCGTGCTGGAGAGGGGAAGCGCTGTCCCTGGCAAAGGAACAAACACCAACAGCTCCAATCCCCAGCACAAATCAAACACACTGAAAGCAAATTTTGCTGCTTCAAACCCAGCCGAGCCAGGGAGCTGTTTTCCAGGCCAGAGAGCAGTTTTCCAAGCCAGGGAGCAGTTTTCCAGACAGCCATGATTTCATCAGACCCCAGTCCAATTTTCTGATTCATGTGCTCAGCCAGCAACACCCTGCAAAGCCCAAGGGATGTGGTGGGACAGCACCGTGTGACAGCCCCAGGTGTGTCCATCACCCTTCCCATGCCCCAGGGTCCTGTTCAGGGCTCAGGGGAGAGGATTTGGGAATTCTGTGTGGATGCCATGGCAGCGTTCAGCACTGGGAAGGTGCTCAGCATTCCAAGGAACAGCCAAAGCCTCATCCCTGCACAGCCAGCACATCCTTCCCGGCAGACTCTGCCACGCCATCGCCCAGCCCTGCTCCCTTTGCAGGGTTTTTTTGATTTTTGAAGAGAATTCCCTGCTCCAGGCACACAGGGGAGGGAAATCCAGCAGTTTTTAGCCCCCAGCTTGGTGTCAGCAGCGTGGCTGCACCCCTGGCTCCACACGAGCCCTGCATCCATGGACCTGCGCCTGCTCCCCCTTTCAGACACGCTCCTTTCCCCTGGGACAGCCCCAGCCCGGTGGAGAACAGACAGAAAACCTCTTCCCAGGGATTATTTCTATTAAAGACAGGCAGTGCTGATCAGAAAGACCTCAGCTGGTTCTCTCTGAGGAGAACCTACAAGGTCATGAAGCACAAGCTTTGATAAACTGAGAACTTCCAATCCTTCTAAGATACAAATGTAAGTAAAGAAAGAAATACATATAATCAATACAAGAGAAAAACACAATTTTAAAATTTGACTTTATGCTGTAAAATAATTGCTTTGCAATTTGATGCCCAGCTCCAAGGCCTCCTGATTTTTGTTGGCCTCAACTACAGCAGGATTGGAGGGTCCAGAAAGGATTTTCCCAGGGGACAGCAGAACTCTGGGACTGGCACTTGGCTGCTGGTAAAGGCACCTTCAGTTCCCACCCCACACCCCAGGAATGCTCCTGGAGTGATGGGAAATGGGATGGATGCTGGTGGCAATACACACAGAGCAAGGCACCAGCAAAACAGGATTTGGGGCTGCTCTGCAGGATGGTTTTCAAATAAAATCTCCCTCAGTACCCTACATCCACTCCCTGCCCCGAGCTCAGGCTCTGCCCTCCCATACCAGGCTGGCTGCTGTGGAAATGGAAGTGAAACAGAGAACCCATCACGTGCTGGAGTGGGGAAAGCAGAGGAGCCCACCCCCAAACCCAGGGGTTGGTGATTCCTGGGACTGGCCTTTGTTTTATTGTCTATTAAAATCACCTCCAAACCACCCCCCTCAACCCTCGTGGGGGACAGGGAGGTGCCAGGGTCACACAGGGAAGCGCTGGTGGAGCAGGGGCAGAGCCTGGGGACCCCTGCATGTCACATCACACAGTTTTGGGGAGAGGAAATAAATGAGAGCACGGCAGAGGTAACTGGTGGGAGGTGCTGGGAAAGTTTCACATCCCAGATCCTGCTGAAATTAGGGAAACAGCCCAGGACTGACATGAGCTGAGTTCAGTGAGACCACTGCACCAAGGAACCTCCTTTCAGCACTAAACCCCCACAGCTGCCAGCCCAAAAACACCAGTCCAAAACCCAGCCCTGCCCCACAGGCACAACTCTGCAGAGAATATCCCACACTGCTGAAAAGCTCTGGCTCCCACTTTAATCAAGGCCCATCAAGTCATCAACAGCTCCAGAATAAAGCTGGAAGCTTTGACCAGCAGGAGCAGCTGCTGGAGCAGGCACACAGCTGCATTTTTGGGAGATGTGATCCACAGAGCCTTAGAGAGGGGCTGACCAGCACGGGGTGACAAACCCTGTGCCCTTCGAGGCTGTAAGGACCATTAATAACCATTAATAAACCACCATAAAAAGGTGTGGAGAGAGCTACAAACCCTAAGCTGGAATGGTGATATGAGAAAATCAATGATGCCTTAAGGGAGCAGGTGTAATATAATATAATATATATATATATATATATGTATGTATGTATGCTGTTCTCCTGGGAAGATGTGTAAGAAAAATGAATAAATGCAAATTGAAAAGCTGCAAATCTCTGCAGAACTTCTCTGGAAATGGTTAGCAAAGTGACTTTTTCAAATTAACCAACTGAATCATTGCTCCCTTAAGAATTCTTGTTGATGTTCCTGGAGCTGGAGTCCTCCTCTGGATAAGAAGGGAAGTGCTGCTTTTCAAACTGCAAGCGCAGCCAGCTCTGCCCTCTGCCGATGGCCGGGGACCACGATGGCCCAGGAAGGTGGCCGTAGGTGACACCACTTTGTGGCACTTTTGGAAAAGAAGAGCTCTTGGCTCTCACCCCGGTCAGCTCCATGAGAGCTGCGGGAATCCCCTGGAGGGGATAATAATGGAGCTCGCTGCTTTTGGGGAGCCCAAATCTGCCCACGATCAGCTTCAGGGGGACCCCAAATCCCCCCCAAACCACCAGGACTGCAGCACAGGGGCGCGAACATCCAGGTGAGAGGGAAGGAGCCTTTCCCAGCGAGCTGGGGAGGGGAAATAATCCATGAATCCTCTCATTCCCTCAGCTCTGCACCTGTCCCAGAGGTGGCACACGGGTGACACACGGGTGACACCTGCCAGCGCGTCCCTGTCCCCAGGAGCTGCGGGGTCCTACCCCCACCGCTGGCTGCTCCCAAAACAGCCCGACACCATCAGCAGCCGAACAAACACGGTGTGAAGCAGGGCGAGGGAAGGAAAGCGGGTGATTGCAGGCAGGATGAGGGGCAGGGACCCCACCGTGCCCGTTCCGCTCCCCACGGCGCAGCCGCTCCCCGCCACTTGCGCTTTTGCTTTGCACAGCGAGGGAGGGACCCGCCGTGGGGACACTCCGGGACAGCCTCAGGGCCAGCAAAGGTAGGGCTGGGATTCCTCTCTGTGCCGGTTTTTCCTTCGGGGTAGGCTGAGGGGGGGTTCAGTTGGGGTTTTTTGGGTGTTTTTGGTTGTTGTGCCATAGATTTAGTGCGGCTCTGCTGGGAGTGCTGAGAGGGGATGGGACAGCCCAGGGACAGCCAGAGGGGTCCTGGCTCCACCACAGACCTGCTGGAACTCCCAGAGTGAACAGGGAGAAGGGGGGAGAATCAGAGGAAGCCCAGCTATGGGTAAGGAGATAATAATTTATGGAAGAGCTCCTGTGTGTGTCCATGGGATGCTCTGAGCATCCGAGTGAGAGGAGGGGATGGCTGAGGT